TCTTAATAATTTAATAGTAGTGCAATTGGCAATTAGCTTTGCTTGTTTGGCTTGGTATTTATTGAGACCAGCTAATAGAGGTTTAGTCACTCTGCCTATAGTATACTTGTATTATTATATGGTATTATTACTGAGTGAACTGTTCGGTTGTTAGCTTGGGCATTGGAGTCGTGTATTGGATTATTGTGGCCGAGTGCACCCCGCCTAGTGATAACTCGCGCTGTGGTTTTTATTGGCAGGTTGTCGTGTAGCTCACTGTTAGGCACTCTGGGCTTAACTATTGGATAGTCATGACAAAGCCTGAGTTGCATAGTCAGCAACGACCCCCTAGGAGAGTGGAGAATCGGCGTAGGCCTGGTGGTGATTATTGCACGTTTTTTTGGTGACTTGTTTTTGACTTGTGCACAGTGCCCATGTATGAGCCAGTCCTATACCGGTTAGACCCGGCTTTTGGCCTAGTAGTGTCAACAGCTGATACAATTCTCTGCATCCAATATAAAAGACGAGATCACCCTAAATTATAACTCAAATTTGATACTTTCTCAAGATTCAGTTGATTATTTAGGAATAAAAATAGACTCACATTTAAATTGGCAAACTCACAAAAAAAATGTATCAAAAAGACTTAATTCAGCTGTATTTGTGTTGCAAGTAATTAGAGATACAACAAATTTTGACACACAAATTGCAGTATATCATGCTTATTTCGCTTTAATTATGAATTACGGACTTATTTTATGGGGATCGTCTAGTGAAAGCTAAAAAGTGTTTATTCTTAAAAAAAGGGCGATTAGACATATAGCCAAGGTTCCTCCAGATACACATCGCCAAGAATATTTCGGTCAATTCAAAATTCTCACTTTATACAGCTCTTATATTTATTATATTTCTCTGATGGTCACAAGTAACTTGGATACACTTATGGATGGAGAGTCAGCCCCCTCTCAACCATGATACAAGATACAAAAATTAATAAAACCAATGCAACATGGACTAAAATTATTTAATTTATCACCACAATATGGGACCCAAAATTCATAATAAGCTGCCTCCAACATTAAAAGAAATTGATCGCTTATCGAAATAAAATAAAAACACTTAAGATATGGCTTCTGGAGAAGGTATTGTTTTCACTGGAAGATTTCCTAACAAATGTATAATTAATTTTAAGTTTTTATTGTTATGATTGTTGTTTTGTTACAATGGATTTTATGACAAATCACCCGTCAATCATTGATGTAACGTGATGATAATAAATAAATAAAAATATGTAATAGTTTGACAGAAGTAACCTTGTAAAAAGCAATGGTATGCAGTTGGATATGCAGTTGATATGCAGAGTTGGAGTTGATTGTGCTGAAGGAGCATTGCTGAGGTTGCAAGATTGCAGACTTGATGCAGGTGATCTCATACACTGCACAGGGTCAGTGGTGTAGTAGTGTCGGTCATTCATCTCTCATCTCACTATGTCTTTACCTGTGTTATTTATTCTTCTTGATCTTAGTGACGAAATAAGATCTTTGACTGTTGATCAAGTGATCGATTTAATCAATGACATTGGAAGGGAAGAGTTAATAATAGTATGGAGAATGTTTTACTTTTTGTATGCTAAAGTTGCCAAGTTTAAGAAGTATCACTTCAAAAAACACTTTTGCTGCTATCATCCAAAAAGGAAGACTAAAAAATCGTATGTTATTAAAGTTACTTTAGCTTTAACCTATTTATTTGTTTAAATTGTCATCTTTACATTAAATTGCATGCATAAAATATGTAGATGCTAATTGGTGCTATATACATATGTATTAACTATTAGATACGTTACAAGCAAGTAAATATTTTAACTTAATTTTGAAGAAGACATTTTTTAGTGTGTAAAAGGAACACAAAATCTTAATGATTTTTAAAAATTAAAGAACTTAACCACAACTATTTTTGTCTGCATCTATTTCTTAGTTAAATAAATGCAACAATTCCATCCTAAAATATTTCTATGTATCAAAGAAAATGGTTATCTCCATGCAAAATATTTTAAATTGATTCCTCCACAAATGTTTGCACCTCCTAAAGAGCACAAAAAAACTTTACATTCTTGTTTTGGGTGTAGATTAAAGTTATTTATACAATGTATATTCTCTCATGTTAAAATGTTACTCTCAGGGCCAGATTTCCCAATAGGTCTTCTAAATACTAGGCCTATACTCCCGCATATATAACCAAGAGATACAAATTCTAAACCACTAGATGAGCTAGATGAGCTAGAAACTTGAAATTTGAAAAGGGCGTGAAACGTCACCTTAAAAATTATCCAGAAAATTTCAAAATGTCCCATTTTCAAATTTTAATCCTCCCAAAAATCCAAAATGGCGGACATCTAAGAACAACTAAACACGGTTTTTTGTACGGCTATAGCCTAACTAAAAATCCGTAAGAGCTATAGAAGATTTGAAAGGACTTTAATGGTCAGGAATTAATTTTTCTACAAAACTCATATACAGGCGTTTTCCGAAAATCACACACCCTCACCCCTAAAAACTCCCTACTTTCAAAAATCTTAATTTTTTTCAAATTTTTAATGGTTTCGCTACTTTTTTCTACCTGAGTAATTAATTTGTTTTTGCAAATATTATTATTGCTATATGTACTCTTCTTAGTTTACCTTAAATGTTGGTCATTACATGTTTTTTCTTGAATTTCCTCCTTACCTGTTGTGGTATACTTTGCTTATTGAAGTAAAAAAGTCACATGCACTGCGATAATGCTGAAAATGTGGTGGGAGGGGGGAAGCAGCACTGTCTTGGACTGCGGGATTCGCCATACACGTTCAAATCGGCCTCAAGGCCGGGCCTGATGAGTTTCACATCCGGCCGTCCGGCCAACGATCTGCCTGAAGGAATCGACATACACGTTCAGTTTTTCCTTCAGTCCAGGACTGTACAGTCCGGGACTGAAGGAAAACCGGAACGTGTATGGTAGGCCTTACTTAAATTGTGGTGTTAATTTTTTAAGGAAAAGAGTTATGTTGGCAGCATTAAACAGATGGTCCAAAAGACGGAAATTAGATTATACCAGGGAAATAACATTCCTTGGCTGGCTTCCTGAGTAATTTTATTGTTGACAGTTATTTAGTTATATGAATAGAAAATACTGATTTCTTGAGCCGAAAACTTTTTTTATGTCTTCTATGAATGAAAGATCAGAGATATGAGTTGGTAAGACGTTTCGCAACTTGAATATCAGTTCCAGACCAATAAAAAAAAAAAAAAAAAAAATAATGTTAACTTATGATATAAATATTTTACCTAAAAGATTGTTTATAAAATAACTTTTTTATTTTGACACAAAAAATGATTTTAAGTGCGTTACCGTTACGATTTTGAAAATCCCCTCCCCCATCCTTGTAATGCTAAGCCTAACCCCTCCCCCGTCCTTAAGCGTTACGCAATATTTTGACTGCCCCTAACATACGTGTTCACACACTTTACTCTCTACCCCACCTATGCCTATCATATGTCATTTCGCCAATCCACGGCTATCTGATTGAGGTAGTATACTTTCAGCTCCCCCGTCAGTCCTGAATAGGATTCTATGCACCTGATAGGAGGGTAGAGAGTTCCAAAAGCGGCATGCTATTACTATAAATGATCTATTAAAACCAGAGTAGCAAATGAGGTGCGGTGATGTGCTGCGTTACGACGAGGGTCGACGTAGTTTTTCTGAAACACTCACAGATAGCTGCACTGTCTGGAACTACAGGCGATGTCAGCATTAACCAGTAAACTTCAGCATGGCAGAAAGGAACTAGAGCACTCACCGGTGAGTAGCCTGCAGCTAACGTGTTAAAATGGGAGAAGTACTGTTGTAAGTTTTAATTTCAAACTGATTCTTTTTTGAACCTACTCTACTGCTCATAGCTATTTTTCAGTGGAAAGGTTTTAGAGCAGGGAATGAAGTAAACAAACAAATGAGTCATCTGCAGAAATGAGCCCAGGAGATTGCAACAGGAGCTAGTTGGACAGAATAAAGGATTGGTATTTCCTGTTGAAAAAAGACACAGTAAAATACAGTATCAATGCTTTGAATCATAACAAATCTCATACAACTTTGATTTAATAGAGCTTGCTATTACTTTGACTTATAGAGGTGCGGCAATTGCACAATTTCCAATTATAGAGGTTTTTTGACTAAAACTTTGATTTATAGAGGTACTTTTACGACAGAAACTACCATAACACTTTGAATTATTAAGGTGATTCTCGTTAATATTGCAACAGATAGGAAGTTCAAGGGGAATAAACAAAACTCAATTTATCAATGATTTTGAATTATTGAGGTTCGATTTATTGAGGTTCCACTGTACAGTAAGTTTGAGCTTGTTCGTTGCAGTTTTGTTGTCAAAGCCACAGTCATTTCATTAACCACAGTATTACAGTTTGAAGTGGGGAAACAGGAGTGACTTTATCAGTAAAAGTCCAACATGAAATGGTAAAAGTCATTGAATTTTCTTCAGTGTGTGGACAGTGAAAAATACCCTTTTACAGGTTTTAACCACGGTGTCAGTCCAGTCAAGAGTGTTGTGTTTCGTCAAAACAAGACTTATGATTTTGTCTTGGTATGGTAGCACAGTTATGTTAGTTCAAATGTTTTGGTCAAATATGTTTTGGTCAGTAGGTTGAGTAGTCTTGCATGGCCAATGATGATTGGGTTGGTTTTTTCAGGGTTTAGTTTCAGTTTTTTTGCTGCCCACTCCACAATTCTGTTGATGTTGTTTTATTAATGCAATTGTTTCATTTGCCTCTTTGAAGTGAGCGTGAATTTGTAAGTCATCAGGGAGTAAGAATGAAGCTGGGAGTGTTGTAAAACTAAACTGGTGTCGTTTATGCAGATAGTAAAAATTAAAGGGTCAAATATTGATACTTGAGGAACTCCACAAGGTATCTGCCTCCAGTAAGGCATTATAACCTGTAGTGAAGACAGTAATTATAACTATGTTGTTGTTTTAGTAAATCAAGAGACTATACCAAAAGCCGATCCCTCAGCAATGCCGAGACAGCTCTCAAAGGCAGCAGTTTAACATCTCGCCGACCTTCAGCTACATCCTCCACTTACACATCTCCAGTGCTGGATATATCCAAGTAAGAGTTTGATATAGTTTGACTAAGTATTGCAACCTGGTAGGCACCAGGAAGATACCTATACACCAGAGTCTTTCTAATACAAACTAATTGGGACCAGACCAGATTACCACATTGTTAGGATTAAAACTGTAAATTTGTACGCAGTAAAATTGTATTAACAAAATGAAGCAATGTACAATCACAAAAACACCCTGATTATGATGACATTGCGATTGTTTTCCACCATCACGACAAAACCCATGATTGCGTTCTTCTTGCTACACATAGACCTTAAAAGAGAACCAACCAACTGAACTCTGTTAATGAATAGCCACTTGGCCATAGGCTAATTGGCAATGATTCAAAAGTTCTGGGTTCCACACTGTATTTGCATACAATTCTCAGCTTTCCCAGTTGGCTGGACACCCTAATTTAATTTCAAACCATTATTGAACCATTTCCCCAGTTACTTATGGGAGATAAACCATTCTCTGCGATCGTGTACCCTCCTTCTGTGAAGCAAGTGGTCTGCTTTTTATGCCATGCTGTTGTGAGCGTTTTGCAACTGTTTGTCTGTAAGTCCGTCCGACTATCTTTGCGAGCGACTCCTTATCCAAGACAAGATTACCCAGCCTAAATCACATTGTGACTGTGTGTGTGAAGTTAGAGAAATAGTTACTCTTATTTTGGACCAAAGTTGTACGAGGATCGTCTACAAATTAAGTAGATATACAAAACAGGTATATTGACCCCTTCCTATCAACAAATAATCATATAGTGTGATTCATATTTGGCTGTAGCGTCAATTTTCTTTCAAGACGTTTTTGAATACTTTGACGAGACTAATTGTCCCATAGGGGGGAACCGGCTAGAATAGTTGTGAATGAAGTTAGTTAGTGTGGTCCTGTTGGAGTTAGGGGATCTTTATTGGTCTCAGATTTGAACCCTTGGCTGCGACATGAGCTCGATTTAGACCTTATTTATGGACCACCCTCATTCAATGCGCTATTGGAGACACTAAAATCAGATAAATCTAGCAAAAAGTTTGAGAAAAAACTGAAAATTGTTTAAAGATAATTTAATAACTTATATTAGAGATATTGCCAAACTAATGTAATGTAATACTTAATTTAAAGGTTCAAAAAGTTGAATACAAAATATTATTATATATTGGCCTTTTTGAGCCCTTAAAATTAAGTATTACATTACATTTAAAGATAATGTTCAGTACATTAGGCTATAGTTGCTATACAATTCTGGTATATTAAGAGAAGCAAGTTAAAAATTAAAAAAGTAAAGGTATTTTGATTTATTTGTAGGTATTCCCCTTCAAACTATGTGACTGGGTCAGCTCGCTCGTCATCAATCTCCTCGACTTCCTCTGCAGGGTCCACCACAAGCAGGCCTCCAAGAGGCTCCTTCAGCTCTCTACGCGACCCTTCCTACACCCCCTCCACATCTCTGCGGTCCTCCAGATACACTGAACAGGTTTGTTCTCATTCAACATGTCAACATTTTAAAAGCTCTTGGCTTGAATCAGTACAAAATATCACCAGAAATTTAAACTAAACTTATGTGCTACATGTTTTTCGTCTGTGTATATAATAAGGGTATCTCCTTTTTCTCTTAACTCAACAGCATTTGAATGAAGGATACAATGACGGTTGCTTGAAGAAGACTTAATTTTAAAAGTTAATGTCAAAACAGGGTGAAGGTTAGGTACATCACTTGGCAGTTAATGTAATTTGAATCGGTCAATGGTTGATCAGAAATTCAAAGGCTTTAAATAAATGATCAAAAAAGAAGAAAAATTAGCTTGTGAGAACTTTTCTACATCTTACTTCACTTATAAAATCCCCATGAAATCTTTCTATAAATGTGTTTTTTGCATAATACTTAGACATGAGTTAAAACACATGAAGCTTTATTTAGCCTGTATCATGTCAAGTAGAGACAAGCTAGTTGACCATATGAATAGAAGAGGATAATGGCAGAGTCAAACCCTGTGAGTAAATCCCACTAGTCCTCACTGATTACACCACTTAAAAGTAGGAAAGGAATATATTGATTTATTTGAAAATTCAATTAAGTCATTAACAGAGAAACAAGCAAGGTACTGTATAAAAAAAAACCAAAAACAATTGTGTGTTGTCCCATGTCAATCAGCTGACTTTAAATGTTAAAAGTAATTGCATATTTTTCCAATTTCCACACTTAGCTATAATTTGCCTGATTAATATAATATAGGCAAACAATTGTTACATTTTCAAATTATTCATTACATTTCCACTCCTAAACGGTGTATTCAGTGAGGCTTGACTATGATTTACTCGCAACGCCAGCACAGCCATTTTCCTTTTTTACCCCTTTGGTCAACTTACACTACAGCTAGCTTGCCTCAACTTAAAGAAAGACAGGCTACAGTTATATCGCTAGGCAAAATAATAGATGCTTGTTGTGCCTTATGACTAAGTATAAAAATATACATTTTATGGAGGATCTGTTTTCACCATCTTTTCTTTTCATTTCTAAATATTTAGACTTAATGGGATTTTTTAGTCCAAAAGAGCCGTTAAACGTTTTTTCTCTCCTTTAGTGCATAGTGCAACAAACACGGGTTTCGTTGGTTTTTTATTGCTCAGTTATTTAAAAAAGAAATTTTAGTTCCTTTTATTAAAAATTCTATCCTAAAGTTATTTAAACCCATTAGCGACCTATCACGAGTATTCTCGTGATGGCTTCAAGTGGCCCAAAACCACCATCACGAGTTAACTCGAGATGTCGGCATACTTTATTGTTATTCTTTTAAGGGCGGTCCCAGGGGGTCGTGACCCCCCCACAAAAGACCCCCAAAATATTTTTTTACAGATCAACTATTATGTATTAAAAGGGAACTTAAATAATTTTTATTGCAAGTCATTCAACCTAATTCATTGTAGTCTATAAGATACACTTGTGGTGAAACTATAGAAATGAATACTTACTCTAACCTTAAACTCAGTGTCGTTTGAGTCTATAACTATATTTTGTACGTTGTGAGAAGTAGAGAAGATTGGCAGACGATGGACGCTTTGGGTCATTTACGGCAGTGGCCGATGCTGGTGTTCGGCCGCATTCTTCTTCTTATTAATTTAATTCTTCTGCATTAATGTTATCATTTACCTAGAGTATTGAAAACTTGAAAATGACTATTAGATAGAGAAGAGTTTCAAAATAATATAAAGAATAAAGAGGTTGTTTTAATAATAAAAGCTTGAAAGGTAGTTGAATGTTAATTTATCCGAGTTAAACACTAAGAATTCAAAATTACAGTAGGCCCTAATGTAATTCAATTATTACCGTACCGTTAGCCAATTTTAAAACTTCCAATATTTAAATAGTATTCATATTTTCTTAATGATTGGAGGACCTGATATCATATTTAAGATTAGCAAAACCCAATATGAGAACAAATTCTGTAGGCCAAATCTACATAGTCACCATGGCAGTGAGTGATGGCAACGGGCTGCTGCTTATTGGGCAGTTATAATGCAGTCGTGTTGGGTGCAAGTTCTCAAACACTTCTTTGATCAAATAAGTTCTGGTTCGAGCTTTTTGGTCTGATTTTGGAATACATTTTATTTTTGCCATGCACATCGGCACCAGTTGAAAGAGTATTTAATCAATAATGCTTGAGGAATAGGTCCTTGATGCCCATTACAAAAACTTCAATTCTATGCATTTAAAAATTTTTAAACTGAATGTGTTGTATTTTTGCTGTATTCCTACAATGTAAAAACCATGTGTTAATGAAATCCCACAAGTCTCAATAATTCAAAAACTGCATTGCATGTTTATTTGTTTAACATTTCTTGAAATAAACTGGAAAGTAGGGATGGACGAGATTGAATTTTTAGTTTGAGACGAGACGAGACGAGATTTTTTATTTCTCATAAAATTTCGAGACGAGATCGAGACGGGATTTCCCTTCTCATACACAACGGGAAATGCACGTTCAAAATTTTTACCTGATTTTGTAACATTGTTAGATGACTGTTTAAATACAAAAATAATGATAATAGGCAAGAATATTTACAATCTTTTATTAAAAAACATCAGCATAACATTTTTTTATTAATCACACCTAACTTATTAAAAATGCCTACGATTAGGAAACATAGTGATATCAGTTAGGGTAGAGTTCAACTTATCCTAAAATAAAATAAATCATAAAATAAAAGCAATATTAATTTTTATAAAATAGTTACTTGTTACTTGTTTTGACTTTTTATAGTAATAAAACATTCCTCACACTGCTTACACTTAACAAAACTTCTCAAATGTTATTAAAGTAATATTATTAAAATAATTAGAGTAATATTTACATTTATAGAATTAATTAAAAAAGAACGCCTTCGCAAAGGAAACGCAACTACAACACGCCCCTGTATTGCGGGTATTGCATTGACTTTCTGCAGGCGTTTTTAATTTTTTTTTTTTTTTTTTTTTTTTTTTTTTATTCTCGTCTCGATAAAAATCTCGGCCAAAAAGAAATCTCGTCTCGTGTAACGAGATTTAAAATTTCCCGAAAATTTCCCGAAATTTCGAGACTTGACCATCCCTACTGGAAAGCTTTACACGTTAGGCCAATTAAATGTTATATGCCTCAAAATAGCTTTGAAATCGCTCATTTATACCTACAGATAATTTAAAATTTTTCTCGGGGTAGGATCCCCAGATCGCCCTCTTTACAATACCCCCCAGGCCCCCTGGTAACCGCCCCCAAAATATAGGTCTAGGACCGCCGTTTTATTCTTTTACTGTTATTTAGAATAATTTTTGTAGCTTTTATACAACATTTAGGGCTATACAGAACATCAAATTTGTTAAAGTAAATTATTATATGCCGTAATATTTATATTAATTCCGTAATACTGACCTATTTCGTTCTCAGCTGTTGATCACTACGTCGCTAGCTAGTGACGGCGTATTAGTCAGCTGCCACAATTGTAACAAAAAATTTGTGTTATTATGTTTGTAAACATTACGTGTGTCTGTGTTTTTAAATAATACGTATATTTCCATAAAATTTGATGACGAATTAAACAATGAAGTGTCAGGCTATTCCCAGCTGTGTAAAACATTGTACTGCGCCACAAATATTGTAAAGCATTGTATGCGGATGATTCCCTGTTGCACTTGTCTTATGAGCCCTGGTTACATGAGTGAGGCCATCGACAAGATCAACACTGATCTGGAGAACATCTCCAAATGGTCTAACATTAATGGGGTTAGGCTAAATCCAGACAAGTGCACTGTACTTCATACTGCCCCTGTGAACCTAGTACAGACACTAAGAGATAATGGCTGGAGTTTGGCGGTCTGTGACAAAGTCAAAACTCTTGGCGTCATTATTGACAGAAATTTGAATTTTAAGGCCCCCCATACACGTAACAAGTCCACGCCGGCCGGCCGATCGTTAAGTGTATGGGGTCGTCGTCCGGCCAACCCCCGCCTTCAGGCCGATCAATACGTGTACGGGGTCGCCAACAGTAGTATTATTTTGATTTACGTTCATTTTGTGGTTAGGCACGGTCATTGACATAATCTAACTTTATTTTCTGCTCAGTCTTTGAGTTGTGCCATATATCGAGTGTTTTGTATTGTTCAGTGACAGTGCCTAGTGTAGATAGAGTAATGAATAATTGACTTTTATTTTAAGAGTAAGTAAATAATTTTTCCAATCTTTGGGATACAATCTAAATTCTTCCAATAAATTGACATTGGTTGATGCTGTTCTGTTTATTCACTTTTATGCCACAATTCCCTTTTCTTCCGCTTTTTCCTTTTCTGCAGTGCTGCTAAAATCGCAGCATATGCCATAAACTCCTCCATATGAGACATGTCACACTACAGCACTGTTCACAGCAGCCGCAAAACGCTTACTGATTGCACACACTCTTGCAGCTAGGCGGGGAAGATTCAGTCTGGCCGGCAGGCGAATCGTTGTGTGTATCCCTCCTGTCACAGCACAGTTTGGCCTTCCGGCTCTCGCCGGCCATCCGATCGTTACGTGTATAGGGGGCCTAAAGATCATATCACGCATGTCTCCTAACGAGCAATAGGAAGACTGAGAGGTAAAGGTTCAGAGGTACACTGCCTGAGGCTGCAAAGCTTCAACTCACGCAGTCACTGATATTGTCAGTAGTTAACTACTGCTTTCCCTGCATATGACAATAGTATCACTAAGAAAGACATGTGCAGAATACAGCGAATTCAAAGCTCAGCAATCTGATTTGTATTCTGCCTTAACAAATTTGATCATGTTTCCCCCTTCCGTGAAGCAGCCAGGATGTTGCCCATGGAAGCCATGTGCAGGTTTTTGACGTGCTGCATGACTCACAAGGTCACGGACTCTCCGTGAGCCCGACTATCTTTGTGAGAAGCTTTCTGTCCAGGATGAGATCATGCAATGTAGGATACATTATGATGGGAGGCTTCACTTTCCA